TCTCTCTCTCTCTCTCTCTCTCTCTCTCTCTCTCTCTCTCTCTCTCTCTCCAGCGTGTATACACGCATCACGGTTGCAAGGTTGCTTCTTCTTCTTCTTCTTCTTCTTTTTTCTTTTCTTTTTTTTCTCTTTTTTTTTTTCTTTTTTCTTTCTTTCTTTTTTTTTTTCTATTTATTTTTATTTTTTTCTAGGCTACCAGAGTGGCCCGGGGTCACTTGACCGGCCGGGCCAAGACTCTTTAGAAAAACAAAAATAAAAATAAATATTTTTTAATTTTATTTTTATTCTACATTTGGTGAAGAATTTCGATGTGACCCTGAGGCAAAAGGTGTTCAGTTTATTTTTCTGCATAACATAGTTTTTCTCCGGATTTTTTGGAGTTTTTTTTCTTTTTCTTTTCTTTTGCTGGGATCTCCCCTGGTCCTTGCACGGGCTGGGCACCCGGGACCTGGGCGGCCCGGCTGGTAGCCTGGATTTTTTTCTATTTTTTTAATTATTTTTTCTATTTTCTCTTTTTTTTTTTCTTTTTTTTTTCTTTTTTTTTTCGCGCATCTGTGATCCGCGCACTGCGCAGTGCGCAGTGTGCATCTCACGTATGTGCCTTAAGTATGGTAAGAACTTAAACCACCACTACCTCCGAGCCTCATTTTGCCAAGGCGCCTCATTTCGCCAAGGCAGCAAAGCCCTGCACACCAAGATTTGCCGAAGCGACAGTGTGACATTTGGTTTTTGGTTTTGGCTGGCGCCACCAGCCTTTTTGCGGTAGCACTGTTCACCCTAAGTAAGAAATGCACACAAGTGGTTAACGAGGACCCCCACTTCTCCTGGGTAAATTGGTGGCAAGTTTGGTTAAAATGACTGTTGGGTTTTGTTATAAATGGAATGAGAAGTTGTCTGAAAATTGAGGCCTCCGTTAACCGCCTCTCGTTTAGAGTCTTAGACGGAACGAAAGGCCAAATACAGCTATAATCACTACATGTTGTCTTCGGGTGAAGAAGGTAGTGGTTGTTTAAAGAAAGATAGTTAATTCGGTATTACTGTTCACCCACAGAAATGGGGTTTGTGCCAAATTTGTGTTTCAAGTTTGCCTGTAAAAGGTAGTGGTGGTTTAAAGAAAGAATCTGAAAGATAGTTAATACAGGCCGAGCTGGAACGAACCATTGGAAGTTTCTGATGTTTGGATTATGGTGATATGATTGCTTGCTTGGATGCTTCAACTTTCAACATGTGTTTTTTTAGTTTTAATGGATGCTTGACGTGCAAGGAATATGAGTGCGAATGATATACAGAAAACCAAGTTGTGAAATCACACAGATGTCCAGGTAGTCGTATCCAAGCAGAGAGTACAAAATGCACCGAGAAACCATCCATATAGAGCAATACAATGAAGTAATGAGCCAATGTTCAAGCCTGTAGGCCACACCAACACAGTATCGAAAGTCGCTCCTCTCTGTCTGGCGCCCAGCGCCCAACCTTCTCTGCCCGACTATCCTACCTACAGCTGGTTCACGCAACAGGCTCACTTCGACTCTCGAAGACCAATGTATATGACTGTCAACTCCATAGCCAACCTCTCTTCGTGCACCAGGTACGTATCTCGTCACCCTCAGTCAGACCTTGATTACCCCACACTCGCCTCCTTCCCTGAAGACCACCAGATCGTCCGCTGCGCCCCCTGGCGCCCAGCAGCCCGGCTATGGCTGCCTGCGCCCCGCTGCCCTGCAGCATCCCTCCTCACCACTACGCGGCCCGTCAGCGCCTTTGGCAGCAGTGCAGCATCAAGCGAGAGCGCAGCAGCACTTCCGCATTGCCAGCACTGGCCAGAATGCCTGGCTGGAAGCGTCCAGTAGCTTCCGGTTGGGCCTCAGACCCTGCGCCCAGGCCCGAGACTACAGTTGAGGGCCTGGGCCCTTTTCAGTTGGGCACGGCCTGAGTCTCCGGACTTGGGCTGTTTGCTGTATCTGTGCAGGCCGATGGCTTGCTTCCCAATGTATCGGCGCTGCTTTGTGTGTATGTGCCCAGGCGCAACTTTCAAGGCCTGGGCCAACTGTACGACGCAGCTTAGTGAGGCTCACGCGCCTACCCAACCAACTGGCGTGCTGCGAGAGCCTGAATACCCACATATGGAAATGTCGAATTTTGACCTTTGACGAATATTCAGGCCCGCCTTCACTTAGGGCGGGCACTCGGCTTACTGGGGGGCTTAGCCCAGAACATGTGATGTCTGATAGGGTCGATTGAGGGCTCGTTCCTCACAGATGTCCCAGCTATGGGTAGTTTCGGGAGAAAATTGGTGGGTTTGTTCGACTTTGTTGTTATTGTTATATGCTATATATAGTGTATAGCATAGACGCGATAGAGTCATGAGTATAGACAAAAAGCCTGCAATCAGTCTGGTTTGCGCCTTTGACACATCTGATGTCTGACAAGGTGTTTTGTTGTTTTTTCCCCTTGCAGATCATTGTTGTCTGGTGTGGTTAGGCCCGGATCAGTAATGGAGCTTTGCAAATTGCTGGCACAGGCTGCGCGCGATGTGGCAAAGAACTTTGAGGGTCAGCTCACCATCCCACTTCTCCTTCCTGTCTCCCTTGTCTTGTCTATCTGTTGGCCACCTGTTTGCATGGAAAAGGAAGCAACCCTCATGGTTCTACGAAGTGACAAATGACTTTGGGGGTTAGATGCCGAGGTGGAGGGGGAGGGGGGGGGGGAAGCAGTTATGCTGATGTCTTTTCTGCTCTCTGCCGTTCTGTACATGTCCTTTCTTTTGGAGCAGCGCAGCATGGCCTATCGGAGGCAAAGCTAGCCAAGCGCATTACGGATAGCAATGGAATGGAGGCAACTCCAAATGATAACCGTTTGCAAAACGGTACAGTATCTCCTTCATCGAGTAAACCCACCACAGATGGGACTGAGACTTCACCAGATCGCAAAGGCGACGGGAATGATCCAGACCACGCAAGCACTGGAAGGGATGAAGATCCTGCTGGTGCTCTGAAAGCTGGACCTGAAGGTGAGGAAGAGGTGGTGTTCGTCCTTCTGTCCTGGACCTGAACAACAACAACAACGCTGAGCTCTCTCTGACTGTCAGACCCTGGGCTACCAGCCGGGACACCTGGTCCACCTTGGCTGCCCGAGAGGTCTAGCCCTGTCTCTTATACACATCAGGTGAGGAAGAGGTGGTGTTCGTCCTTCTGTCCTGGACCTGAACAACAACAACAACGCTGAGCTCTCTCTGACTGTCAGACCCTGGGCTACCAGCCGGGACACCTGGTCCACCTTGGCTGCCCGAGAGGTCTAGCCGGGCAAGGGCCATTCAAGGTCCCTGAAAAAGAAAAAAGAAAAAAGAAAAAACATGATAAACATCTTGGAAAAAAAAACTATATTTTGTCAATTTTTATCAAATTTTATGCAGATTCATTGCAGAATTATGAACTAACAAGTTCTGCCTCAGGTCACACCGGAATTCTTTCCCAGATTGAAAATACAAATATAAGTTGAAAAATAACTTCAAAATTCAAATAAGTTTCTTTTTTTTTTTTCATCCTGGCCGGGCAATTTGTCCCGGGCCAGTCTGGTAACCTACGTCAGACCCTTATTGGATTGTGAAATGTGTGGTGAGGAGGGGGAGGGGGAGAGAGATGGGGAAAGGGTGCAAAAGGTTGTGGGCGTTTGGGGGGCCGAGTGCGGGAACGGGGTGGCCAACAAGGGGGTTGCAGTATGTGGATGTCGTGGAGTGAGAAGGACAGTGGGAGAGAACAGGGGTGGGACCCTTCCCTGTCATGGCAAGGTTAACAAGTGTCCTTCCTAGTCGGGGTCTCGCTGGTTCTACAGTCCTGAACAACTACCAAGCATAGCACTCTGCAGTCCGATGTACCCGTCGCTCAGTGATCGGAGCAGGGAGTACTACCGTCTTCACCCGAAAAGAACAGCCGATCATTATAGCTGAATTTGAGGGAAGTGCTGCCGCCTTCGCCCGAAGAGAACGCCTGGTCATTATAGCTGCATTTGGCGGAACTTTCAGTCTGCATACAGCTATAATGACCACGCGTTCGATTCACGTGAGACGGCAGGCTTGATAGGTGTCTTGAAAATTGGGTCCTGGCATATGCTGCAGTCAAAGTTTTATCAAATGTTTTCATTTTGATCCTGTTAAATATCCTACTTTTTCGGCAGATTCCCAACAATTTTCAGAGCCAATTTCAACCCTAAGCTAAATCCTGCATAGAGCCTCACTGCTCATCACCTCGAGCACACACACACACACACACACACACACACACACACACACACACACACACACACACACACACACACACACACATTGAGAGGTCACATGAAGTCCACACTGGAGACCAGAGATGCAGAGTCCAGGATAGCACAGCATAGAAATTCCAACGAATTATCATATTAAACAGTTGCTAAGTTCCAGTCACCAAGCGCTCATCAGCGCAGAGTTCCGCAACCCATATCCAGCGACCCCTTACAAGGTAGGTGACTCTCTCTCTCTCTCTCTCTCTCTCTCTCTCTCTCTCTCTGTGTGCTGTCTCTTATACACATCTAGATGTGTATAAGAGACAGCCTTAAACCACATTCATGCCAAGTGTGAAAATGGCTTGCCCAGCAAGCTTTGCCGAACGTGGAGGGGGTGGGAACGATTAGGGGAAATTTGTTGGTTGGCATGGGTATCACCCATTTTGCTGGACCTGCTGCCAGCAGCTGGAATGAAATGCGGCAGTCATTTTCTTGTTTTCACTCGTTCACCACCCCTGGTGTGGGCAGAAGTGCAGTCAGATACGGTCTGGAAGGAGCTGCGCGAGAATACCCTGAAATGAAAGGGGCTGACAGGCAATCGATTGATCCACGCCTCTCGCGGGGAGTCACATTAGAAACAGCCAAGACAAGATTCTTCTTTCTCGTCAAAAAAAAGAGAAAAAAAAAAAAGAAAAGGCATCGCCAAGCTGTGAACGTGATTGCATTCAGATTCATCCACTGCTGGTCATAAGTAGGGGCAGATTCATTCTGGAAAGTGGTGAGTTGAATGAATGCCTAGAATGGAAACGGCTGGCTCCCCGTCTCTCACGGTGAGTCACATCAGAGACAGCTCACTAATCTCGGAGCCGTTGTAGAAGCTCACAAATCTGGAAAGGGCGGTTTCAGATGTTTGTAGCAGTATGCGCCCCATAATTTCTGTATCTGACAAGGATCGTCCCTAGTATACATTGACAGCAACAAAAAAAGTACACAAGGAACCTTTCCAGAAGCTCACGAAAATGGGACGTGTTGGCGTCAGATGTCTGGAGCAGCATGCACCTCAGAATTTCTGTATCTGACGAGAGTTTTCACTCGTATACATTCAAGTACACAAGAAGCACGCATGCCATATCTCCTGTATTTCACAAAGAGTCACAAGGATCATGACTACAATTTACATCGACTACAAAAAGTACACAAGGAGGCGTTCTAGAAACTCGCAAATCTGTCAAGGGGTGGTGTAAGATGTCTCGACCAGCACTCGCCTCTTTTTTTTTTTTCCTTTTTTTGATAAAACGGGTCCTTATGGTCCTGTCTCTGTATCCAGTCCGGTTCCTATTCCCCCGGCAAGTAATTTTGGCAGAATTACATCATTGGACTCACGCACGCCGCTTCCGTCTGGCTGAAGGATCCCTGAACAGCATTGATTACTCCACTGTAGTGGAGAACTGACTGGACTGTCAGCTTGCCTTCCCCTGAGTCTGCTCTCAGATTCCTCGGTGGGAACCTGTCAGCTGATCGATAGTGCAAGGAAAACAGAGATCAGCCACTGGATTGACACTGGAACGTCTCATGTGTCTATGAAATCTTGTCGGGCATCATGGTGAGAACTACTTATCCCTCGGGGGGTAGCAGAGTTATGCCAGTCTTTCCATCTGAGTTGTAGTTCGTGAACATCAGCTATTTTTCTGTGGACCAACCATGCTCTCCTGAACTTTGATACCCACTCTTACTGTCTCTGCAGGTCCTGCTGGATTTGGATCTTGACCTTCTTCCATTGGCACCGGATCTCAGTCTCCAAAACCCAAAACCCAAAACCCAAAACCCAAACTCAAAACCCAAAACCCAAAACCCTAAACCGAGTCTCGTTGTTACCCATACCTGTTCACTCGGATTGCTGGACTTCAATTTTTTGTTCGAACTGCAGATGTGACTGGTGTGTCTATGGTCCCTGCTACACCTCTCCTTCCAAATGACCCAGAGTGTCACCTTCCTGATTATTTATCCCAAAGTTCCCTAACCAAATGTGTTCAGATTTGTTAACTTGAGCAGGGATGTTACTCCATAGGAGTAGTTGGATTGGGTGTTCGGGAAGGCAAGAGGGGAATAGGTGGTGGTCCCAGAGGACTGAGGCGCTCACCCACAGGTCAGTATAGCGAGCTTGCAGGTTATCAGGCAGTGTATTAGGTCCTCCGGTTCGATATCTGAGCATACTAGACATCGTTCGGAACTATTTGGGTCGTATAGGAATTCAGGCAACTGGCTGAAAACTATAGCGAGATTGCTGGACTTGTCTATGGTTCATTCTACGGACGTGAAGCCAGGTGCTCACTGGGAGAGCATTGTAGGTGATCAGCCATTGAAGGCTTTTTTTAAATATTGACTGGACGTAGTGATTTGTACTTCCGCAAAGGAAACTCGGAGATTGGTTCCGTTCTCTGTCGTAACAGGTTCATCCATCTTTCTTTGATTACTGGCTCCGGGTCCTTCTGTTTTTAGTAGCATCTTGTACCCCATCTTGACTGTGTACTGTCTGTTATCTGAGTGGGGTCTTACAGAATCTATTTTGTTGCCCGAGACCCACACCCATTCCTCCGGGTCGAACTCCTGGACTGCTGTGTCCATTTGGAATATAGTTTTCCAGCCAGTTGCCTACCGTCTTCACTCTAATAGAACGCCCGGTCATTATAGCTGCATTTCGCACAACTTTCAGCCCAGATGCAGCGATAATGAGCGGGCGTTTTATTCGGGTGAAGACTGTAGTATTATTTCTCGAAGCGTATAGGGATTTAGGGCTGTTTCTTGTGGGTGGATGTTGTGGATGGAGAGGGATTTGGGGTTGGTACGATCTATCGGAAAGGAGATGAACACTCCTGCGAGGCCTGATCCAGGAGGTCTGCAGTAGAATTGGTAGAGGCTCTTTGTGGTAATGTCTCCTGTGTCAGCACTCCCCATTCCCCCGATTTTGAGGAGAAGTCCTCTTTCAACGAGTCCTTCCAGCTGACCGGGATGCTGTTTGATTACTGTTGTCAAGTTCTCATATCGGCGGTGGCAGCCCTTCAATCGTCCCAGATGCGACTCACCTTCCAGATTCCGTGCCTGATCAACGCTGGCTGGTTGCAAGTGACAGTGGATAATCCCCTACGTCCCTTATACATGGGTTTCTGACCAGGTGCTGATGCAGGACTTCCTCTCTGGACTTAGTTGTTTTTACCTTTTTTGCCATAACTTGGGTTTCCGACCAGGGACTGATGCAGGAGTTACTCTCTGGACTTCGTTTTTTTGCCTTTTTGGCATCATTTCTCTCCAAATGCAGATGAGAGCTGACCAAAAGGGGGTGGTGGGTTGCACCTCGTTTGGTGACGAGTGTGCAGGCCGGCTCCTCCTACCGGTCTTCGGCGTCCACTCCTTGTTCAGCACCCAAAATAGGCCAGCCATGTTGATTGGGCTTTGGACCGGAGCTAAAGCTCTGATGCTGTCAATGGCTAGTTTGTGCCATGCTAGCCTTGGCTGGGTTAGTGACTTGACTATCCATTTGATCTGAAGTACTTTGGTTTCCTGTTTGGGGTGGATTATTCCTAGTCCCCCCTTTGATGGCCTTCTCGTTATGTAGTGCCAGGCGATCTTAGGGATGTAGTCCGATGTACTTCGTTTTGTTCGGGTCACCTGCCCATAGGTAGGCTCGGGCTCTACTGTTGAGCTCTTTGATAGTTTGTTCGGGTATGGTCCAGATGGAGGCAATGTACCACATCATTGAGAAGACGGAGGTGTTGATAGTTAAGGCTCATTCCCAGTAATGAGGTGAAAGTGTTCCCCCATCTCCCCATCCTGTTAATTTGATTAGTTAGTACGTTCTGTGCCATTTGTGGGGCTGGGCCATCTTTGGTCACCATGGTTCCCAAGTATCTCGTTGGTTAATCCGGTTTCTCCCATGCCGTTTCTGCTTCGGGACCTTCCATTCGGGGTGTCTCTTCCTCCGATAGCTACCATCCTATCATCTTTTTCTGGTTAATCTTCATTTCCGAGGCCAGCCTGAATGCTTCCATTGCCCTGACTAGTGCTTGTACTGAGGAATCAGATGCCCTTATAAGGACCGTGAGATCGTCTGCAAACATTATCACTGTTGGAAAATGGATGTGGGGTACTGGTGTTGAGGGCTGGCAACCTTTGGATTGAGGGATCCTTGCGTAAGAAGGAGGCAATAGCTTCCATAACAAATAGGAAAATCGGTGGGGCTAAGGGATCTCCTTGCCGGACTGACCAGGAATCAGATATCTCTCCGACAAGAAGTCCATTGACTTGTACGCAACCTGGTACATCATCGTATAAGATCCTAACTCATTTCCTCCTGATGCATCGTTGTATAAGATCCTGACCCATTTCCTGAAGTTAGGTCCCACCCCCATTTTCTCCATGCTTGCGTTGAGAAAGGCCCAATTGACTTGATCGTAGCTGTCCAAAAATCATATAGTGTCCCGCCACAGATGTCCCTATGATGCGTTCTGGCTGACTCCACAATCGGCCATCACCAGGGGACTTTCAATTGCACATATGGCGAAGGGTGGCTTACCTCTGCTCAAGTACTTGGTCGCAGCACACTAGCAGCATGCATCCGTACTGAATCAGGAGGGCTGTCACAGAGTCGAACCAGATCAACAGCCGCCGAGTGGTAACATCTCCAAACCCATGCTAGTGGGTGGTTGTCCAAAGGGCCCACCTCAGACCCTCGCGGGTTAGCAGAGAAGGACTCACAGTACCAACTCAGGAAGGGTACCATCAGAAAAGTCGGGGAACAGGGGAAACAAAAGAGGAGCAGAAGGGCAGGGGCGGAAGGTAAAGGGCATGAGAGGATGGGAAGCAAGGAATAGACGGGTAGTGGGAACTGGATAGTGCAGAGGGAGCAGGTATGCAGGATGGCAGTGCCGCAGAGAAGAAGAGGGATCAGGACAATTGTGGCAGCGTGCACCGAGTAGAAAGAGACACCCACAAAAAGTACATACTGCGCCAGCGATGATGTGATTGGGATAGGTAAGGAGGAACATGGATGCCGCTAGTTGATCTTGGAAGAACGTGGGACAGGCAAGCCGGCCAAGGAATGTGTTAGATTGTGGAGGTGGGAAGGGGTAGGGATACTGCAGCAGGCACGCCGAGGTCCAGGTAGCAATTGTTATCGCAGAACGACAAAGCTGAGAGAAGTGCTACTTGGAAGGGAATGAGGGACGGTATCGGGAGGGCGACAGATGGATCCTAAGGCAGTACGGTGGGTGTGGTAGAGCAGCTCTGCGATGGCAAGCGCACAGTAGAGAGTCAGGGACCACGAGCAGAAAAGACAACTTGAACAGCAGGGCCACTGTCTGAAAGGAAAAGAGAAAGAACTGGCAGGTTCAGTTGTGTCAGGTAGCAGATTGCCCGTGGGACTCAGAAAAGGTTGGCCCACGGTCTGCAGGATGGGACTAGGATTACAGAGGTCTGAGGGCTTGTAGGTTCGGCAGGCTACTCCTGCTGCTGGGGTTAACCCCCCATTTCTGATTTAGCCCAAGCTGAAAGGCCTCAACCCAGGTTGCACCCCCGCTGACCGCTGACCCGACCGCCAACCGTATTGCAGCCGACCAGTAGGGCCGACCAGTCGGCGGTCTGCCGACCAGTCAGAAAACAACCATCCAGTGTTTTTTTTCCAAATCTGAGTTGGGGGCTGTACTCACTTGCTGAGTACAGCCCAAATCCGCTGAGAAACTTTTGGGGATGGGGGGGTATAGGGAGTATAGGGGTGGTATAGGGGGTATTGGGGTGGTATAGGGGGTATAGGGGTGGTATAGGGAGTATTGGGGGGGGTGATGAGGATGTGGTGGGGGGGTATTGGGGGCCGCTATGGGGCTGTTGGTGAGGTTATTAGGGGTTCTGGACCCAAAACATATATATGTATATTTTTTTGTTTGTTTGTTTGTTTTGCGGGGTGCCGACGACCCCCAACCTGTAGGTGCCGACCAGCCGACCGGTCGGCGGGTTGGCAACCGACCAGTGAAGGGCCGCCGACCATCGGGGTATGCAACACTGGTCGTCTGCCAGTTTACAAAGGTGCACTGTTGGAGAATTTGGAGGGGATATTTTTGAGACCTGCAGAAAATAATTGACAGCATAGAACACCTCTAGATATAGGTAATAACTCAACTAATAAGTGACATCAATCAGATAAGATAGTGCAAAAAAAAAAAAAGTACTTCAGGACATCCGTTAAAATTGGAACGATACAGCGAAGATTAGCATGGCCCCTGCGCAAGGATGACACGCATATATCGAGGAGGGGGAGGGGGGTGGGGAAGAAAGGGAGGAAATCAGATAAGATAGCAGTACTGGTACATGGCTGCTACCATCCGGACATCCGGACCAGTGTCCAGACAGTCTGCTGCTGGGGGTCCGGAAACCGGACGTCCGCAGCTCTAGCCTGAGAAATTGAATGCATCATGGCTACGATCCATACACCCAGATCGCAGACCGGTCCAGAGCCGCCGGATCTGTCCTCTCACCCTGAAAAAAACAAATCCTGAAAGAAAGTAAGAAGTCTGGAAAAATTATATTTTAAATTTTTAATAATTTTATCTAGTGGCCCGGGACCACTTGCCCGGCCGGGCCAAAAAAAGATAAAGAAATAAAATAAAAATTATCAAATTATTAAATAAAAGTATTTGTATTTTATTTTCTATTTTAAATTTGGTAAAGAATTTCGATTGGACCCAGAGGCAAAAGTTGTTCTGCACAAAAGTTGTTCTGCATAACATAGTTTTTTTTCGGAATTTTTCGATTTTKTTTTTTTTTTTTCTTCCTTTTTTTTTTGCTGGGACCTTCCCTGGTCCTTGCACGGACGGGCCGCCCAGGAAAATAAGGTGACCCGGACGACCCACGCGGCCCGGCTGGTAGCCTAGCCTTTTATGCATTAATGTAGCTGAGGATCATCTCGAAATTCTTTGGCAAATATGAGGAAAACAATGTTTGTTTGTTTTTTGTGGGGGACAGGTGCGGGGGGGCCGGGTCAATCCATACGGTCTGAAGCCATCCAGACAAAGGTCGGGCCGTAATCTGGATTGGTGAAAAATATATAATTTTTGAAATTTTGATTTTTTGAAAATTCAAAGATTTGACCTCATATCTGTACAAAGTACTGCAAACTTACAAAGTACTCAAAACTTAGTAAAAAGTTATATTAACACGCACAGCGGCAGGGCGGACGTTGACAGGGAAGAGACAGGTAATAGTGATGTTCCTGTGAAGGCATCACGGCGAAAAAAAAAAAAAAAAAAAAAAAAAAAAAAAANAAAAAAAAAAAAAAAGAAAGAAAGAAAAAAAAATTCGGGGTGCCGACGACCCCCGACCGGTAGGTGCCGACCAGCCGATCGGTCGGCGGGTCGGCAGCCGACCAGTCAAGGGCCGCCGACCATCGGGGGGTCCAACACTGCCTCAACCCAAAAACCCCAGCAACCACCTTTAGGAGTGGGAAAATGAGAACGATTGGAAAACACTTGCTTTGTATTTAGGCCTGCAGTGTAACTGCCAAATCCATTTTTTGAGCAGAATATTTACTGACATGCGCCAGTTGGGGAAATTGCAGAAATATCCCGAAGTCAATTGCGAATACGAACAACAAGGACAAACAAATCATTTTCAAAATGACAAGGACTTAATTGTAAACACAGAGATCTGCAGAGCTTGCATTTCTGGTACAACTCCCTTGTTGCTGCAAACCGTGGGTAGCTGTTGTAATAATCTCAGGAGTTCAAGTGCACAGTGTACACATTTAGCTGCCGGTGAACAGCTCGTGGGCTCAAACTTTATGACACAGACAGCACTCTGTTGTCGGTTGCCCCCTCTCTTCCGCTTGCAACCCTGTGCCCTGGTTTTGCGCTGCGTCTAGGTGACCTCCACTTGTTCTTTTAGTGTAACTCGAATAGGTGGTATTGATAGTTTATGTTGTTTATCATGAGTCATTGATATCGATGATGATGGTGGTGGTGGTGGTGGTGGTGGTGGTGGTGTTGGTGTTGGTGCAGGTATCCCTATATCAGTTTTGTGATGAACTTCAGCCAGATGTGGGCAATGTACTGCTTGGTTCAGTTTTACATGGCCACACGAGAGTTCCTGGCACCAATTAAGCCCATAGGGAAATTTATGTGCATTAAGGCGGTTATCTTCATGACATGGTGGCAAGGGCTATTCATTGCATTCTTTTTCTCGATAGGCATTGTAACCCCTCAGCCGGAGTTGATTCCAGGAAAATTGCAGACAGGATTGCAAGACCTCCTCATTTGTATAGAGGTGAGTTGTGTTCTCTGTTGTGTGTGTGATGAGTGGCAGTTTTCATTCTCCTTAACGCAGCAGTAGGGAGCAAGCAGCTTACCAGAGTCTGCTTGGGTTTGATGGTGTAGTATTTGGGTTTCACAGATTTGCTATAAGACACATAGGTTCATTTTCTTTTGTTGGAGAAAAAATACGACTCTAGGGTTGACACGTGAACAAGTCATGGCTATACTGGGCGGAAGTCCGATAAAAAAAATGACCTGTTGCCAGTCTTTGTTCACCAGAGGCTACTGTGAATAACAATTACATCTGAGGCACTTTTGCATCATGTTTTGTTTCGAGGACTTGTCTCTGTCTCTGACATGCAGTAGCTGTATGTTTGGCTGCAGCAGAGCTTTTGCTCTTCGATTCTTCCGACAGTAGTTGTGTTCTGAGTGTTGCTGCTTGTCTGATTGAATTGCAGAGATTCCCATATTCTGCTGAGATTCCCATGTTCTGACCTGCAAAATTGCAGACTGGGAAACCTGTTGTTTTCTGAGTGTTGCCGCTTATCTGATTGAATTGCAGAGATTCCCATATTCTGCTGAGATTTCTGAGTTTGCGTGTGTGCGTGTGTGCGTGTGTGCGTTTGTGCGTGATTACCGAGTTTCCATGTGTGGTGGTCTGTCGGCATGATTGCATGGGTGTGCGTGTGACCCGCTGGGGTACTTGTGTGCTGAGAAAGTGCGGTACTTAACCTGTGGTCATGTTGTTGTGCGGGCGCAGCGGGGTAGGAGTAGAGTAGGAAAGACTTGAGCAAGGCAAAAGACTCAAGTAGCGGGTAGGTAGGCAGTCGATGACAGAAAGTTAGGACCTTGGGAGGCTGGAGTAGATGATTTTTGTAAAACAAATTTGACAAAAAGGAGGAAGAAAACGTCAATTCTGTCATTGCACCTTCAATGGCTTGTGCCGTAAGCATGCCAGGAAACCCCTTCCCCCAGTGTCTCACTCACAAACAACTTCAGCGCTTTGGCAGAAAAGCACTTACTTTGAACTCTGAAGGTCCAATCTGTGGAAATAGCTTGTTTAATACTATATATATTTAGCCTCAGCCCGTATCATCGGTGCCGTCAACCGCTCATCCCATCTCACCGCCGAGTCCCTGAGTGACCACGATTCCTCATCCATTGCTTGACCGCACAAGTCCACAGCAGCGCATCCGCGACAGGCACAGATTCCAACTGTGTTGACGCTGGGCTGCTTTCCAACTTTTTGTACTTGCTGCATTTCCCGATCCTGGGCTTTTCTGGAGCTAGTACCTTTCCCTGCAGCCGTGGTTGGGCCTCCGGAGTTTTCACAGACTTCCGGAGGCTGCGCTGAGACTGACTGACGAACTGACATCGTAACTAACCGGCCTATACCGGTCCACTGTGCAGACCTGCAGGGCCTACTGACTTACGGTACGGCATAGACCTACGGCACCAACCGGCCTACAACACACAGTCCTACTGGTTGGGGTTATGGTGGTACATGGGACACTGGGACTCGGAACTAGGACCGGAACCCTGAGATCCGTGAAATCCTTTCAGTGACTTTCAGTCCCACCAGCCTAAATTTGAGGTCATCTAGGAAAGTTAATACCTCTTTATCGACCTGTAATGTGAAATCCCCTTCTAGCCTGTCGGTAGTGTGAGACAATCCTGGGGGTGGTCTCACTTCATCAATCTTTCGGGAACCACCTATCCTCTTCTAGGTCCTGATATGCATGTGCTCTTAGTTGTTGCTGAGGTTGTCCCTCCTTCATGTCTTCAATATAATAATATATTATGGTCAACTATTCAGTAAATGTCAAAGCTACAGTCCATATCAGGTGGAATCATTGGTCTACGCACAGTAAGACTTGTCTGCATTGGCGGGCAACAGTTTGGACACATGGAATACGGGCAAAGTTCGTAGGTGCAGAGGAGCATCAATAATATATACGAAGGACCATCGACATCTCTTATATGACATCTAACACTTCTGAAGGTCCTCACTCTGCAGATATCAAAGTTTTGAGAAATTACTTCCTCTAGTTCAAATTCTTTAGATTTTACCCAGACTAGGTTGCCCACGACGAATTGTTGCTGCTCCGTGATACTTGTTTGCAGTGACTCTCTGCAGGCTTTTATCATACCTCATCGCAAACTCATAATTTCTGAATTTGGCCTGGATTCAGACAATCAATCGATTTACGAGGCTTCACCCTTTATGCAATTCGTTAGATGTCCTGCTAGTGCATAGGTGTACTTAATTACTGTACGCGCTGGCTACCTTGCGCAGATTTTCATCCCACTTCACCTGGCTGGGTCTCATGTGCATGCAAACGGTTTGTTGTACCGACTTGTTCATCTGCTCAGTTTGACCATTGTGCGTACATTGACTTGACCCCTCAGTTTGACCAACTTGTTCATCTGCTCAGCCTACTGGACAACATAGGTAACTAGGATCCTGAGCCAGGAAGGTCAAACTGAGCAGATGAACAAGTTGGTCAAACTGAGCAGATGAACAAGTTGGTCAAACTGAGCAGATGAACAAGTTGGTCAAACTGAGCAGATGAACAAGTTGGTCAAACTTGCATGACGTAATTGTCACTACTCACCCGTTAATCTAACATAACCCAGACAACACTCAGGTGCCCCAGTGCTGGGCCAGGAACCTCCCTGGCCCAGAATAAGCAGTGCCAGCTTCAGAATGAAGAAGGAACCTCCAGCTTGAAGAAAAAGATTTGGCAGCACCTAACTGCACGGCACAGATATGGTGCCAGCAGATGAAGCGCCTGCTTCACTGCCCCGCTCAAACCCTAGTGGAGGCTGGCCAGCTACAGTGCTGCTCCAGCAGCCTGGCGGCATCAAGAGCGCACTAAACAACTGCTCTGCCAAAGAGAGCTAAGACTTCAGACCTACTATTTATACTTCTGATTTCTAAACCAACCTATCGGACTGGACCGCCTAGGACCTAAGACCAACTGACAGTTATGGGTCTGTGGTTTTCCAATAACCACAGTAGCGGTCTGGGGCAAAGGTAGACCAACTTATAGTTACCTTCCTAGGAGACCATAGGAGGGAAGCGCTGGGCTTCTGCAAGGATTAGGGCTGGGCGCTGTGTGTTGGGCTGTGCGCCATAGCTGGCTGTGTGGAGGAGGATGCTGTAGGAAGGAGGAAGGCTCCAGAGTCCAGAGGCTTGTTGAAGCTTGGTTTATTCTTGGTTGAGATTCTTGGGTTCTTTGTGGTACTGATCGAGCAGGAGAGAGGCGAGGAGGGACTATGAATTGACCATTTCCAGTCTTCTGGATTGTTGAGCTCCCGCTGTGCATATCGCAATCTGTTGAGGCTCTCTGCTTTATTGCGTTTTCAATCAGTCACATAACAATGGCATTCGCCAAGTATAATTCTGTGAATTTCCTTGCTACCCTGAATGCACAGTCTATCTTCTTCCAGCGGATGTGAGGAGCAGCAGTCAGTCAATTTGCGACTCCATACTCTGGTACTCTGTGCGGCTTCGTGCGGCTTCGCTCATACTCTAGCGATGATCTCATGAAGAACGCTATCTTCTGTGTATGTCATCAGTCCTCTGCGGTAGTTCCAGTACTGCATGGAGATGGTCCTGATCATTCCGGAGAATTTTGCTCTCCCAAAGCATCAGCAACTACATTGTATTTTCCGTTGACTAGTTGCAGTTTGAAGCTAGGCTACCAGAGTGGCCCGGGGTCACTTGCCCGGCCGGGCCAAATAGATTTAAAAAATAAAAATAATAATAAATATTTTAAATTTTTATTTTATATTTTAAATTTGGTAAAGAATTTTGATGTGACCCTGAGGCAAAAGTTGTTCAGTTTATTTTTCTGCATAACATAGTTTTTTTTCGGATTTTTTGGATTTTTTTTTTTTTTTTTTGCTGGGACCCTCCCTTGTCCTTGCACGGGCTGGCCACCCGGGACCCGGGCGGCCCGGCTGGTAGCCTAGGTTTGAAGTCAAATTCATCAATTTCTCGTGCGCATCTAGCTACCTTAGTTGACGCTCTAGATTGAGTCTTCAAGCACCGTAGTATTCATGATCTGAATACATGAAGTCAATTTGCACTTGCGTATCTCTAGCTAGGGCAGCTCGCCCGTGTTCGTCACAGATGTTCAAAGGACAAGGTACGTACTGCCCTGTCTCTCCCATCTCTATTGAGTCACACCTTCAGATGGGATCCAGTACCAGCTGATACCCACACAGGGGCCTTCTAGATGCAGTGCCAAAACCTCTACACCCTTCGTCTACCCTTCTCCGTAGCTTGGCATGAGGCGCTTTCTTCTACCCTAATACCCAACTACTAAATAGCCATGGATGTCGTCTTCCTACCCTCCCACTCCACCGCGCAAGAGGAGCTTCGCCTAGCTTCACCCTCGGGGCGGGGCAGGAGCATGACTGCGGGGTAATATGTCTTCTCACTCATTGCACAGTCAACACATTGAAATCATGGCGTGCGATACCTAGCTAGAGATGCAACCAAGACGAGAGAAGTGATGTTGGGGCTGAAAGTAGAGCTCTTTGACTGCTGGCAGTAAGGGGGAATACTCGGACATGATGCCTGTTGATCCGCTCATTTGTTGCTGTAATTGGTTATCGGAAGAGGAGGAAGAAGGGAGAAGAAGATGAGAGCACAGTACAGCCCCCAATTCAGATTTGAAAAAAAATCAGTGGATGGTTGTAGTCTGACTGGTCGGCTGCAATACGGTCGGCGGTCGGCAAGTATGCAACCCTGCAAAGAAGGTGGAAAAAGAATCAGCAGTCTGAAATTTTGAATCCTGATAGTATACAGGTCCATGTTCGGCCACAGCTGCACAGGTCATCTCAGATTCCTGCTCCAGATAAAGAACCAAAAGGCAGAAAGAGGCAGGAAAACAAAACGAAAATGAAAAAGCAAACAGTCACGAGGCTACACGAGTTTTATACTAAACGCGATGGGAAGGTGCCGGGAGGGGGTATGTGGCATACTGCGCATCCACACGGCCCTGCAAGGCCCGACCAAACAAGGAAAAGTAAGGGCCCTACAGGCCCTGTGTCGTTTTCAGCCTGAAAGCCTGAAAACAAGGGCCTACAGGCCCCGTGTCGTTTTCAGCCTGAAAGCCTGAAAACGAGGGCCTACAGGCCCCGTGTCATTTCAGCCTAAAAGCCTGAAAACGAGGGCCATTTTCAGGCCCTCATAAAGTCGACCTGCCCTGAAACTTAGGCACCAGACCAGGGTTTTAGCACAGGCCATTTTGGGCCTGTTTTCAAGACAACCTTCGTTTGAACTTCAACGCCAGGGTCTGGCACGTTTTGGCTTTGGCAAGAGCAGCCTCCTGGACGGGCCAGCACTATATAAGACTGGCCCGCCCTGCAGGCTGCAGGCAGTCAGGAGGTAGTTCATAGGGACTTCCCAGGCACTTCACGTGCAGGAGGCAGGAGGCAGTCTTCAGGATTCGGCGGCAGCACTCTGGAGGAGCGCTGCAGTAGTAGTAGTAGTAGCGTTAGCAGTAGTCTTCAGCGCTGGGCGCTATTAGGAGCTAGAGTAGCGTTGGGGTGAGAGAGATGGTTGGCGGAGACCAGGGAGACTTACCTGTGGCGCCATAGCTCCAGCTTCGTCTTCGATGTACCTGCAACAAGGCGCCACCTTCAGAGGTTAGTACCGGACAGAGAGAGAGGGCGAGAGTTCTTCTTCTTTCTCTTCTAAGTCCACCATCTCTCCCTCACCCTCTCGCTACCTAACTTCTCAGTATCTGCAGACTACGAGAGAGAGAGAGAGAGAGATTGGTGACTTTGGGACTTGACGACATTTGGATCCAGACTTCACATTGGGATTGAGACATTGGACGAGGGATTATTTGGGACTGTACCGAAGACTTGGTGTTGACGACATTCCCCTCTTCTTCGTTTAACCCCCCTCTTCTTCGTCTGTGTATGGTTGGGGACTGGCGCATTCTTCCTGTGTGAGCGCCAGGCCCTTCACACCATGGAATGATGATGATGTATGTTTGGTCTGCATTGCAACATTGATTGTTCGGATCGCTGCGCTATCTTGTACTATGTGAGAGAGGTCGGTTCTTGTTCTGGTCTGCACCTTTACGGTATGCGACAGGGTATGAGGTGACACACTGGTGATGGCTTAGTCTGTGAAAAAGAGCCTTTTACTGAGGGGGGGGTTAGATATCACGTGAGGCCCCTTGCTTCCCTGTTTTTTTGCCACCCCGCCTTCCGGTTCATCTGATTTTTTTATTTTTATTTTTATTATTATTATTATTATTAGTTTTTTTTTTTTTTTGTGTGTGTGTGTGTTGTGAACTTGTCATATTCGCTGTACACTAAAAAAAAGCATGACTCTGCCAGACTGTTTCGTCGGACTTTCACTGACTCGTTAGGAGGTTGAACCCCGACAGTCTGCCCAGGATTCATTTGACTGATGGATGTGTGTGTGTGTGTGTGTGTGTGTGTGTGTGTGTGTGTGTGATTGGAGGGTTGTGTTGGGGTGGAAGTTGGGGAAGAGTAACCGGAGAATGTGGTTATCTGCGTTTGTGGTTGTGGCCGTGCAGATGTCAATAGCAGCTGCAGCCCATCTGTATGTATTTCCTGCAACCCCATACCAGAACCTGAGGGTGGGGTGCACGGCCGAAGTTCGTGTACTGAGAGATTATGCAGGAGGACCTCCAGATGTGGATGAGGTGCTGGAGAGCGAAAAACCTGCATTTGTGAAATGGCCCATGGACAGCCCCATGGACATCTCAGAAGGACCACCAAGCTTCAGTGAAAGTGTGAGCAACATGCTTGTCGGTGGTAGCAATACGGTAGGGAGTCATTTCACATACCCTTTTGCCTCCTTTGCCTTGTTCCCAGTCACTGTACAGAATTCCCTTTTTTTTTTTTTTTTTTTTTTTTTTCAACTTTTTTGGCCATTGTTGAACAGCGCTCTCCAAACAACAAAAACAACCTGTTGCATGACTCGGCCGGATGGGCGGGCTGAACCACGCAGGTGCCAACTCGCCACCTTCTTCCCACGAAAACAACGTACTCTGTACGGTCATTATAACTGTGTTTAGAGTCTGTAGATTGATATATACCCCCAATACAGCTATAATTACCATATGTTGTATTCGGGGGAAGAAGGTAGTCCAGAAATCTCAGAGAAAGAGGAGCGGAATCTCGGAAACGGACAATAACGCAGAAGCGAGATCTGTGGATGCCTCTGTGCTTGGGATCTGCATTCCTAAAGTTGGCGGCAACAATTCCTAGGTCTTCTTTCGATTGTTGTTTGACAAGCTGGGTGAGAAATGTAGTGCTGTAGTTTTGGACTTATCTTCGTCTGCAGCTTCATTGTTGGCTTCATCTCTTTTGCAAGTTAGGCATTTGCAGGGAAGTGGAACTTACCTGAGTTGGCTGGTCGTGCCATTGCTCGGGCTGGTTGGTTGGCGTTGTTCTCCTCTTTGACATTGCCGCAGGTTGTGAAGGATGTCAGGTTTACAGTGTCGCAAGCTGTGGAGCCTGTCGAAAGAGCCAGGCAGAAGCTGCAAGATGGGATTGGTGTCATCAACAGCTGGAGCACCCACTTGAAAATGAGAGACTGCACCTTCTGGCAAGAGAGCAAGGATGATTCATGGATAGGTGTCGGTGGGGAAAGGAACGTGGGAATTGGTCCCGTCCGGGGAATCGATGACCCTATGCTGCTTGGGAGTCAGAGTGACAGTGGAATCCTGAGAGCATCGAGGCGATTTAGGACAGGAATATTTCATGGACATGGCAGGCTGGACAGGCCAGCAGTTGGGGAGCTGAACAGGCCAGCAGTTGGGGGTGAAATAGTGGAACAGAGACTGGAGCCCAGACCTCCTAGGAAGGGAAGAGGTCAGGGGAAAGGAAGGAGAGAGATCGAAGGAGACATTGTCGAGATCGTTTTTGATAGGAAACCCCCACTTAGGGGAGGTAGGGGAGCCAAGAGGTAGTACCGTAGCAGAGGCCATAACCTCAACCTTCGTTGTGTTGCGCATATCCCACAATAGAGATGGCAGCACAATGTAACACACTCGTTGCCTGTTCTCAAGTGTCTGCACATGGACGAGTGGTCACTGACTATCCACTGCTTGATTGACATCTCAAGCCTTCTTCTTCTTCTTCTTTCTTCTTCTTCTTCTTCTTCTTCTTCTTCTTCTTCTTCTATGTATGGCTACATTCAGATCAGGTCATTGGTCGGAACTGTGAAATGATTCCCGCCATTGCACTGATCGCGCTGTACAATTGTACACCAGATTAATACAGTGAAGGCCTAATGATGTTATTCACAAGTTCTTGCTGTTCTATTGCATACAATACAAGTTTTCCTTTTGTCACAGATAACTACTTCTGCGCTGGATGCTTTGGTGGCAACTGATATTGACTGAGGCCGAGCAATGGTGCTAGTTAGCTAGCTCTGTCCCGCCGAGTTCTTGCTGGCGGTAAGCACGTACTTGTCCTCTTCGGCTCTGATGACAGTGCAGGGAAGGGAATGCAGTGAGTGCCACTCATCCGTTGCAAAGTTCGGCAATTGGCTGAGCTCTGAGTTGGTGTCGACTCTCTCACGATATTTCAGACATCTTGAGGGTTTTCAATGCGTCCGCACAAGACTCAGACCACAGGGGATTTCAGACGGCCGAGGCTTCTGTGCACACAATGACTAGACTTGCATGTGAGGAGGACACAATGACCGATCTCAGACTGTTGAGGCTTCTGTGCACACAATGACTTGACTTGCCAGTGGGATGCTTGCTGAGCAGGAGGCCGCTTAGGAGGACGCGTGGTGTATGTTGTGTTGTGAGAGGATAGGGCAACTCATTTGCAGGAGGCCTCTATGTTGAAGGGAGGCCTCTATGTCCCTGGCTCCAGTTGGTCACATTGTGGAAGGAAGCCTTCATGTTTGCGTGACCTTGTTTCCAAGGAGGCGGCAGGGCACCCCCCGTCTATTGAACGGAAGGGGTTCTTCCGATGGACCTGAGGGTGTAGCAGAACTGGCTGTTGGCTTTTCATTGGAGGAGGCGGCCTCCTCAGGGGGTGTACTCCTACACGGGCGATGGTTAAGTCCACAACGAGACGGACACGACTTATTCAACATCGTTGAAGATACTCGTAGTGAAGAACTCGCTGCGAAGACTCAAGCACAAACAACGGACTGGGTTTACAGTCAGCCATGTCGTCCAAGCAGCAGAACTGTTCTGGTGCCACTACGCCCTAGGGCTGGGCCTTGCCCGAAAGGGAGGAATAACTGCCTGTTCATGTTGTGAGGGGATACCTGTCGGAGGGCTCGACGCCCAGAGGGGTAAGGGTGAGAGCATGCGGGACACTTTATTGTCAGCCGCAATGAGCCAGGACAGTTCTGGTCACATTACGCCCTTGCTGCGGCCCTTCCCCAGGAATGACTGGCTGGATTTTCACCTCCTGAGGCCATGTACATACCCAGCAATGTTTGTGAGAATTAAGATTTTATGGCAGCATGCATGATCTGTTTGAGCGGAGTCTCACAGATCCGGGGTCGATGTGAAAAGCAGGGTGTTCTTTTGAGCAATTGGTAGTGATATTGCTCATCATCATGGTCTTTTCGACTTGGATTCATTTTCTGAGGAATGTTTGTTATCTTGCCAGCAGATGGACACAGGTAGGCACCCTGTGCAGTCACTGCCTTGGCTGTAATGATTGTGAGGTAGATAGCATTACAAGTGACATGTCCAATCTTCCAAGATTCATTTGTTGAATTGTTATAGGCCTATAGCAAAACATAGAAAGACGGTCCATCGTGTGTTCCAATTTTCTGGTGTGCTATTTGTATCTAAGAGAGCGATTTGTATCCAAGGGAAGCAGCAGCTTAAGCACGTACCGATGTGAATTTTTTTCCTATCTTTTGTTGTGCTGAATCTGCTGATAGCATATAGGCTCTTTCTCTTTTCTCCACCCCTCCCTCATTCAAACAAAGGACCAGATTCTGTCACCACCCGTCCTCCTCCTGATCTCCATGGCTGACCAGATTCTGTCACCACCTCTCCTTCTCCTCCTGTATGCAATCTGTGTATGCTTAGAGGTCGCGAGGAAAAGAACCTCGGCTGACCTTGGTCGATGATTTGTCGAGTGATGAGTAGCTCTGTCTGTTTGCTTTCGTTTCAGAATTTCATTTCAGTGTGTACTTGGGTCTGATGGGTCCTTTTTTTGTGGAAAAAAACAGTGTCTTTGCTAGGAGAGGTGGTACGAGCACACCCTCTTAGCAAGACTCCTGGGTGAATGCTCCAGTCTATTGGTGGGGAGCAGCACCTGCTGGAAAGCGGGTCCAGCGTCCCACTGCGTCTGATGGGTCTGCGCATGCAAAAGTGTAAATAGCAGATGGGTGACGAAGAGAAGTGTGTGGCAGTTCCTCCTTCATTGCAAGCCTTGCAAGCCTTGCAATCAATTTCCCCCTCCATCAAAAAAAAAAAAAAGTCCCCTGCTAGTATTTTTAATCAAATGCCCCACCAGAGGATTTGCAACTTTGCGCCATGAGCCCTTCCGATAGTCGGGTGAAGAGAATTACGTGGCAGTTCCTGCTTCATTGCAAGCCTTGTAATCAATTTCCCCCTTCATCTAAAAACAAAAAAGGTCCCCTGCTATAAAAAAAAAAAGAAAAAAAAAAAAAAGAAAGGTCCCCTGCTAGTATTTTTAATCAAATGCCCCTCCAGAGTGTTTGCAACTTTGCGCCATGAGCCCTTCCGATAATCGGGTGAAGAGAATTACGTGGCAGTTCCTGCTTCATTGCAAGCCTTGCAATCAATTTCCCCCTTCATAAAAAAACAGAAAAGTCCCCTGCTAGTATTTTTAATCAAATGCCCCTCCTTCGAGGCTAGTGTTTGCAACTTTGCGCCATGAGCCCTTCCGCGAGGCTTCCGGTAGTCAGTTGAGGCCCTTTTGTTTTTCTTAGCCCTTCCGGTAGGTAATCAGGTGAGGCCCTTTTGTTTTTCTTACCCCGTCCGGAAATCAGGTGAGGCCCTTTTGTTTTTTTCTAAGTCCAGTTAGAGGATCTCATTGTGCATTAAACAGACTTGAACGCCTGTGCTCACACCCCCTCGCCACTCACCGACAGAGCCCTCGGCTGTCCATCCACCTAGTCGGGAAGCAGAGATCGTGTATAAGGAGGCTCTCTGCATATCACTTGGGAACCTTGCTTGCATTTGTTGGGCAAAATCCAACAGAGACCCTGGTCATTGTTGCGCATTCGCAGGGCTTTCGGTGAATGCAGTCGACATCCCTGATGCTGAATGTGTTTGCTTTCGCTCAAAATGTGTGCATGATCGGCTCTCTTTGTGTGTGTGTGTGTGTGTTTTGTCTTTGATTGTATTTCGATTCGAACTTGGGGGCTGTATTTCAACAGATCGTGGGTGTACCAACCGAGGTAGGCTCGTTGGTATTTGCCGCATGAAGGGTGAGAGGGCTGGGGGAGGGGATTAAAGGTTCCCTTGTTTCGCAGATGGCAGGGGCCCTTTTATTTCTCACAGATGAGATGTTTGTCATAACGCATCTGTAGATTGCCATGCGTTCTTTTCTCACCAGTGACTTGCTATCTACTTCCATTTGACCAAATGACTTCCCAGGATGCCCAGCGCAGTGGACGTTGTACTCTCAGAAAAGCTACTGCGAGTGCCGTGCTTGCTCAAAAATCACCCCTCCCCCCATCTGTGCACTACATTGGTTCGGCGGTGAAACAGATTATTAAGTGGTCAGACGGTCCCAGACCAATGAGATGCTTCAAAATGTGGTGGTCTTGTCGATTACCGAACATGTTTTCGGGGGGATCATTGGTCTCTTGGGAATTTCCTGATCCTTGTTGTTGTTTTTTTTTTGTTTTTTTTTGTTTTTTTTTTGTTTTTTTTAATCCTTTTTGTTTCTCCCCTATATGCTCCTTGTCTTCCGCTGTACCGCACAAAGCCATTCATGGGGTGGTAGGTTCCCTCCACAGCACAAGTGGTTGTAGGTGTCGTGGCACTGCTTTTTCTGCATCGGTCTAGCCTGTGTCATTCGTGGCCTCTACAGAAGAAGCAACTCAGAGAAAAAGAGTGTGGAAAGAGGAAGGGAAGGACTCTCTGGTGGTGATGTGGGTTCACTTGGATAATCCGCTTCAATCCCTGTGCAAAGGAAAGACGAACCTGTGGCCATCTGATTATGGATTCAATGGACCAAGATAAAGGTGCCACTCCCCACCAATAGATGGAGCAGCCCGACAGGTAAGCCGTCAATTCCGACGGTTCTCTTCCACTGGCAGGATAGAGGGATATCGCAAGGGATATTCTCAAGACGGTTCTCTTCCACCGCCAGGATAGAGGGATATTGCAGAAGCTATTCTCAAAAAAAAAAGAAAAAAAAAGAGCGCAGGCTTCCTGGTAACCAGGGCAAGCGAGCATGAAATGATATCGGCTCAAGTAACGCCTCCATTTGCTGCGATGGCGCAGCAGGTGCCGACTGTTTTTTTTTTTTTTTTTTTTGAAAACAACCCGATCGGATGCTAGGTGTGCTGATAAGAGCAGACACATCTAGCACCGTCGACTTCTGCCAACTTCACCATGCATGGTTTCCGGGTTGCGGTGACTTGAGATGTGGTGGGGTCAGCAGCAGGCTGAGCAGGGGTCATCAACCAGTCGGAGTGTGGTTGTGGGCCTGTGGCATGGCATCGGAAGGGTCGGGCTCCGTTGGGTATGTGAAGGGGACAGGTGAGTAGGGGGGGGGGGGGGGGGGGGGGGGGGGGGGGNGGGGGGGGGGGGGGGGGGGGGGGGGGGGGGGGGGGGGGGGGGGGGGGGGGGGGGGGGGGGGGGGGGGGGGGGGGGGGGGGGGGGGGGAGGGGATAGGAAGACACTATAAATACTTATCTGGACCCGAAATGTCTCCTCTCTGGCCCTGAAATGTCTCCACTCTGGAGTCGGGACCCAAAATGTCTCCACGGAAAATGGGGTTGGAAAGAGAAGGTAAATTATTTCAAAAGACCCGTCAAATGAAGAATCCGTTACGTTATCTTATCTATCTGATCATGCGATGTGAATATGTTTTCGGCAAACATGTTTCCCATTTTGCAATGTGCATCGCACTCGAGCAAGGCAGTACTGAGAGTGCAGGTTCCCCACTTCTCAGCTACTGGGCCCACACTTCTTAAGTGTTTGTCGGATTGATAGAGTTGGCGGATTCGTCAACCTAGACGAAGTTCGTTTTTGATTTCTGAATCATAACAGCCATGCATTGTGGATGCATGGTGTTCTTCTAAAGACATAAAAGTTTGAATCCTTAATTTTTTTGAAGTTGCATTTTGGGCTTTGTAGGGGAGGCGTGATTTGTCTATGCCGCAGAACGTGACCACCACCTTGACACGTTGTTGTCGTGTGTCCATTGAGATCGTCCACTGTATACCGAGGCCAAAAAAGGACGAAAGTCACGAAAGATAGATTGGTGTGTGTGTTTTAAAGTCTTCATTTTCATGACTAAAGGTCCATGTCTGCAGTGTGAAGCATTATGGAGATCAGAAAATGACTCGAATTGTGGATTTTTTTTATTTTTTTTTTGGTGCACTACACTATGTTCTTCTCTCATTTTCTTTTTGCCTTTCACTACCTTCCTACCGCTACTCAGACTATATATAGAGAGGGGAGCCCTGCAAGCATAGGACCTAGTAAAATGAGGTAAATCGTGTTGCCCCCCGCCCCAACAGCGGTGGTCAGAGATGGGGTGGGGCCGCCCGTGCGGGTCCGGCTAATGCAAAGACCGAGCATTTTGCCGGTAGCTGCGCCTCCCTTTCTCATCATCCCCCACCCCTCATCGAGTAACAGCAGAGTATTTTCACTTTTTATACTTCAAATATTTTATTCATTTTAAGTTTCAATTTTACCCCTCATCGAGTAACAGCAGAGTGTTTTCACTTTTTATACTTCAAATATTTTATTCATTTTAAGTTTCAATTTTATTAGGGGTAACTACGTCGCAGTCACTTTTTCAGTTCTAAATCCTCTTCAGGAATTTTCTTAAATACAACTCATCCCCACCGAGCCCTACAGCCGGGTTCGATACTCTTTTCCTCGCTTTGGGGCAAAATTCTTGAAACCGTGACTGAAACGCATTTTAAACTGAAAACTTTGACTGTGTCCTAGTTTTCCCATTTTATTTTTGATTTCTTGTATATGCCACAGCACTTTTGTCGCACTGCACAGCTCCCACACAAGTGCAACACAATCATGAAACAAGTCTGTGTGAACCGGTAAGCTTCAAACCCAAAATAGTGTTGGTAGGTAGGTAGTGTGAGGTGAAATTGAGAAAAGAACATAGCTTTAAAAAAAAAAAATAGTCTCCCCCATGCACTGACAAATATAACACTGATAATTGATAGTGTTGCATGAAGACATCCCCTGTTTATTTGGCTGCTGCCAAGTCAATTACAGAGGTTTTGCAAAATTCCTTCAGGTTTCTATGGTTCTTTGGCAGGAATTACTCAATTGTTGCCCAGCATCTAGTTGTGTCGATGTAGCGACATCTGCTTATCCCTGTGCAGCAGCCATGGCACCCGCTAAGGTTCATTGTCGCACAGGACAAAGTGTGTGCTAACACGCTTGTTTTTAGCCCACTACTATTATGACTACAACAACAAGTACTACTACAACTACTTTTGCGCTACTGCTACTATTTCTGCTTTTGCTTCCTTGTGAAGCTGCCTAAATGTGAAACTCGTTGCCACGATGTTTATCATGTCTCCTTATTGTACCCTTACCGCAGATCACCTGAGTGATTCACCGCATGCCTTTATGCGCGACCGTCTCCCATCATGGTGGATGGTGCCGACAACTATCTGGGCAAGTCAATTGATAATACCCCTCCACACATCGAGTATCTTGTCCGCAGGAAAACTTACCTGGTCATGAGGCTGCTTGGGAGCCCCTTGAG